ACCAACATGACCTTTCCACAAATTATGCAAAGTGTTAAATTCCGAGTAATCATTTAAATCTTAAAGCTGGCTAAAATCCCGAAATATCTTGTCTAGGCCATTCGTTTTCCCGCGCCACACATTAAGAATGTGCCGTGAATTTGGAACGCTGTGTTCTTTTGTTTTTTTTCGAAACATTCTTCAGATTGATGGCCGTGAATTCTTTTGAATTTTGGAGAACAGCGATTAAAATAGGTCACAAAACATGGAAATTAAAAATGACATTGCAAAAAAGTGGCATTTGACAGGATTTTTTAGGCTAAGCTTAAAAGCGCAAACTTTTAAAATTTCAAAAAAAAATTTTTTTATAAGAAGTTTAAAAACCTGCCTTATTTTCTCTAAAAATTGCATTTTAAGCTTTATTTTGTGACCAAAATCCCCTTAAATTGAAAAAAAAAATATCAATTTTGCCTCCAAACACTTCACCGTACCTCCTGAAGCTACTGTAATATCCCTATCATCTCTAAGCCCAAAAAGAACACGTAACCTTCAAAATTACCCAATAAACCCTCAAAATGAAGTGGCAATGTTTGTTCACTGTAAACAAATTTCCCAAAATACGATGTAAATTAAAAGAACAGCGCCTTAATTCCGCGATTGCCTCAGGCAAAGTGCAGAGTTCCCAAAAAAGTTTTAAAAAGAGAATGGGTTACTTTTCAAAAAAATAGAAGACAAAACAAATGAATCCGCGCTTCGAAGCCCGCAGGGAGAATTGTCACTGGGGAAATCTGTTACGATGATTTCAGTCAAGAGGTCAGATCAAAAGGCCAAGTTACTGGGAAAACAGTCGTGCTAGTAAATATTATTAACGATGGCCATTGAATTTGATGAGGGAATGTCAATGAAGATATTCTATGTAAATAAAATTTCCAAACTGTAAATTGAAAAAACAAAATTTTTTTGAAAAAAGGATTTCATAAAGTTAAATTTTTTCGATTTTTTAAGAAAAAAAATAACAAAAAAGATGAAAAGGTGCTCTACCTGCCCAGCTCTGATTGACTTCAAACTTTTATATAGAAAGATCATGTAAGCATAAGATATTCAGCAAATTACTAAATCGCGCTTTCCAGTTAAACCCTAGAAAATCAAGATCAAAGATTAAGTTTTGAATCTTTCGCCAAATTGGCATAGTGTTTTAAGCCTATAACTTTCCCATTTTTTGAGTTTTAATCATTTTTCTTTGATAAACCAGTAAAACATCTTTAGACTAACCTCCATTTTTTAAAGTTGTAAGCGTAGCTTGTCTGGAAAGTCGAAAAAAGTGCTTGACACACAATGCCAAGCATGCCAAATTGGCGGGAAACTTAAATAATTCATATTTAAAATTCAAAAGTGTGAGCTAAAATTTATTATGAGTACTATTATATTAGTGGTACAAAAACTTCATATAAAACTTTTAAGCAGGTTATGAGTAAATGCAGGTTGGGTACTTTTTTTTGTTAGAGAAGTGTAAACAACCACCTCCTAATAAAAATTATGTTTACTTTAAAAAATTAAAGCTAAAACCACCCCAACCCTAAAATACCTCAAAACCCTAAAATGACGTGGCAAAACCACTTCTTCTCCTTAACTTCAATATAAAAATGCAAAGAATGGCACTAAACAACATTTAATTAAAGAAAATCACGTAAACACTTCACAACTCTAAAGTTCAAACAGTGTGCTGCATTCTGCATGAAGAACGTCTTCTCCAGAATAAGCGTGAAACAAAAAAGTTTAGGTGTTCAGTCGGCCTTAAACGCATTTGCAGCCTAAACCAATTTTCAGGCGACTAAACAAACTCAAAGCGACTAGACTAGTTTTTGGAACAAAACCTTCTAACTTTGAGCAACATGAGGCTTTAGGGCATTAGGTATTATGATGTAGGATACTAGGGTGAGTATTTTTATTAAATTACCAAGTAAACAATGAAAATACCCACATTATTAAATAAAAATACACTACAGTATCTCAACTTTAACCTTTCAAACTTCACATTAAAAAAATAGTTACTTGTAACCACATAATGCCATTTTTATACTGCCTAAGATACAAATATAGAAACATGGAAATGTCGCCCACAATTAACAAAAACACACATTTGTATACATACATTCATATTATGTTCATTAATAATAAGGAAGTTCAAAAAGTAATAACGAAAAAAATAAAAAAAGGTCTAAATTGTTTTAGTGCATCAAAAATACAATATGCCAAGATCAGCCGAGTTCAAAGTATAATTCAGTTGTCATACGGTACCTATTCATACGTCAACTGGAAAAAAGTTGTAGTGATTATGACCTGCCTTGCCGTACTTTTGAAACCCTGGCTCAAGCCCGGAGCCCAAAGTTTAAACTTGGCTTGTTTTCATTTTTTTTTTCAGACCAACTCAACCTGTTAAAAAATTATGGGCTCCACCTGGCCTGGCCCGCTTTATGAAATTTTAAAATTTAAAATGTAAAAAAAAACTTTGAATTCAAGCCCTTTTCAAGCCCGGCCCACAAGCCGAGCCTAAATTTTAAGCCCGGACCGTTTCAACTTCAGCTCAAGACCGGTTCGGTGTGATTGTAGAACCGGGCTGGACCGGGTTGGAGTTACACGGCTTGTTTGTCACCCTTAACCCTATCTTATCCTACCCTACCGGCCCTACATTATCCTACTCTACCCTATCCTACCCTATTCTATCCTAACTTACCCTGCCCTAAATTATCCTACTCTACTCATAGTATAGTAAGATCAAAAAATACCTAAAATATTCCAAAACTACCCATGCCCATAAACTTCAAAAATATCGAAAAAGTAAAAAAAAAACTTTCGATACCCAAAGTAGTTGAAATAAATCATAAAAACCCGCTTTAATGCTACTATTAAAAATAGCCACATAAACCGAGAATAAAATTGGTTCTACAGAAAGGCATGAACATTCGGTTTTTTGTCTTATAAATATTCAGTTAATGGACCACCTACAATAAACGATCCCTTCTGGCCTTATAAATAGAATTACCCAATTCACGTTCAATTTCAGCTGACTTTTTTGCTTTTTTTCAGAAAAACGGTATTGAATAGGTTTGGAGATTGGTTTGGAAAGGTCGAAAAAGAAGATAGTGGGTTTAAAAACGTAAAAAACATAATGGTTTAATGACAAAATACTACTAATATAAGAAAGGTAAATGACCTGCAACGTCGCATAATTTCACAGCTTCTCTTTCAAATCAGTGTTATAGTATGAACAACAAGCAATATCTTAGATCAAATATTAGCGCGCACTCTGAAGCCAGTATTGAGAAAATATCAAGATCAAAATCTTACTTTAAAAATTGTTTGCCAAATTGGCATAGTGCTACAAGCCTATAAATTGGCCAATTTTTAACTTATAATAATAATAACTTCTTACTCATAAAAATTAAAAGCATTTAAAAATAACCTTAATTTTTTAATATAAAGCTTAATACTTTTATAGAAAATACGTATGATAACATAAGACTATTGGGTCCAAAACGTGCACTTCTCATATATATTATGTTATATTTATATGCGTTTCGAAATGTTAATTAATTGGTGTTTCAAAAACAAAATTTTCAACAAAAACACAACGGTACATGTTTTTCTGTACTTTTAAAGTACTGTAAACTAAAAAAAGATTTTTCACAAAAACAAATAAAATGGTACTGGTGTTATCCTCTCTCCCACCTCACCCTGTCGTTTCCTTTCTTCTGCCTTACCTTTATTTCAACACAGAATTACCCTGTTCTACCTACCCTTCTCTTTCTTTTAAAGCTATTTTACCCTGCCCACTTTCTACCTTCCAGATTTGGACTGAAAAGCTATCAATAGTCGTTTTACTATTGATATCTATCCTTACTTTTACGATAATACGAATAGATCTGCTATAATACAAATGTCTTTTTCTAAAAACAATGACATCCTTTATCCACCCCCACTTTCTCAATAAAAACTGAAAAAAGCTGAAAATGTTTCAAATAACCATAACTTTTGATATTCAAATGCCATTGATTCACTTCCTTAGTGTTTAAACTTTGAGCCAGCCTGAGGGCGCTTTTTGATAGCGCCAATTCCCGGTCGACTATTTAAAGCCGGGTTATTTACAGCGCCTCGAGATTTATGAGTTTTAACACGCGTTTTTATGCCTTTTGTGTAGTACATGAAGGAGAGGGAGTGGTGTTACATGAAGATATTTAACTAAATTACAAAGTAATTCTGCATATCAGTAAAGTAAATCGCTTGACTTGACTTCATTTGACATTATATTCATACTTTTTCTTTTTTTCTTTGCTTAAAAAACCAAAAATGACTTACCAGACCTACTACAATATCCTACTCCACCCTCTCTTCTAGCTTGCTCCCCCCCCTCTCCCTCACCCTTACCTAAATTGATTACAATTAAAAAAACAAAATTTGTAAAAACATTGGAAACATTTAATTAAACCAACGTCAGAAACAAGACTTTAATGCGCTAATAAAACGTTTGCCGTGCCGTTCCATTAATCCTTGAGAGATTGATGAACCGCTTACTTAAACTTGGCCTGCTTTATCTTGATCGTCTTTTTGTTTTTACTTAATTACCAAGAAAAACATTTATCTTATCCGAACAGATTGTTCTCGGAAATTTATTTACTAATAAACAATAAAACATTGAGATCAGGGTTTAGAGTAGTGGTTATGTTTTCAGGTGTTTTAAAAATTATGGCACATCGTTTTAATATTACATTTGAAACTCTTGTTTCCCAAAGCTTTTTTATAAAAAATTTTCAATTTTCAATAAATTTTTTATACAAAGTTCTACTGTATTTATTACAGGTAAAAAGTCTGCAGCATAATCCTCAATAGTGTGTAAGATTTTATTTGAAAATGTATTTGAAAAACCATAGTTTATAAAGCGAAACAAACATGAATAATCTTCTAATAGTAATGTAATTTTTATTCTTGTACAAAATACATCATCCCATAGCTGTTGGGAGTAGTTATGATCTTTTCGTCTTCTGAAATTACATAAAACTTATTTTAATTTTGAATGAAAATCTATTTACAAAACTTTTTAGTTAAATTTACAATGTTCCATTAAACCCTAATAAGAAAGTAGAAAAAAAGCAGGAATAAGAGATTTACTACGTATCTCCACAGTTAGATTTAAAAAAAATAAAGCAGTTAAGAGATAAAAAAAACCAAATTAAGCAGACTTTTTACTGTAAACTAACATACCTTATTCTTCTTATAAAGCATCGTTTTTAGCTTCTTTACAATTACACTTTTTACAATATTTTCTTTGTTGTCGTCTTTGATACCAAAAGCCGTACTTAACGTTCCATTTACATTACTCTTGTCTGCAGAACAATCTACCGATTTACTACGTTGATCCTCTGAGCTGCTTCCTTTACTTCCAGTGTCACTCGAATTATCTAGACCAAAAGATGATAATAGCCAATCACTTGAAGGTGGTGGTGTTAATTCCATTCTTGATGTTGTAGAGGTAAATTCTGGGTTGTAAACCAGTTTGTCATCTGTCAAATTTGAAGAATATGCTTGAAGTCCTGTGTTTGAAAAGTCGATAACTTCATTTCCAATTTTGTTAAAAAATCTTATCATTAGGGCCAAGTTTTCTGGCGTCATAGGAAGAGCCGAAAGTTCGGCGAATTCATCAAGATGTTGCTCCGTGAATCTGGTGTGAATTTCTTTTTGAAATTGAATTTTTTGCATGGTTTTGTTCAAATTGAGCTGAAATTATAACATTTTAATAAAGGAGTTGTCGCAAGCCACGTATTTTAACAAAATTTAACAAGAATCATCAAATGTAAAAAACAAAACGTTATTCAAATTGAAAGTTATTATAAACACATTAGAACTTCTGTATAACAAATCGTTCGAAAATTTTATATTTGTTCGTTACAAAAGAGTTTTGCTATACACAAATTTTAAAGGCTCCGTGTAGTGTTAGACAAAGATTTAAAAACTGTTTCCTATATAGGGTTTTCTTAACAGAAGAGTTCGTTATACAGAAGTTCATCAGCAATGGCAAAAAAACTGTATTTTAAAACTAAGTAAAGTTTAAAAATTTTTATATTATCAAAGCTAAAACCAATATCAGTACAACACACAACCCGCTATAGAATACCCTGACGATTAGTACCAACTGGCAAACTACAGGTGATTATCAATATCTTATCCGCCAAAGCAAAGCAATATTGCTTTGACATTAGTTCCTTTTTCTATCCCCAATTTGCCGCTAAAACGAATGTAAAGCCGCTAGCTGTAAATAAGTTGCCACAAGTAATCACAAGTTCAGCAACCAGTCGGCGGATCTTCCTTTGACTGTTCTTATCTATCTATCACCGGATTTAAACTGGCTTTAAAAATAAAAATTCAGTGGCTTTTAATTGGGTTTAATGAAAACAAATTTTACTGATATTAATATTTACAAAAACGTTTTTTGAGCTAGCTGTGTATAGCGTAAATTGTTGACCAAAAATTTTTAAAAAGTTATAGTAAAGTCCAAAAAATTATAAAGCTTAGTTTTTTAGAAAAGAAAAGTAGATCGGCACGTATTTTACCATATATTTACCTATCTTACTAATGCAGGCAATCCTTTTTAGTATGATACTCCAGAGGCTGGATCAAACTGCTAATATATTAAGGTGTCACACTATCCGGGTGATTTTTGATAAGATGTTTATTACAAAAAGCAGTCAAACAGCTGTCTTTATAAAGAAAGTGTCATGCTGTTGAGAGTCATACTAAAGAAGTTTTACTGTACTAAATTTTTAGGCTAAAAATATTAAAAATTACTCTAAAAATTTTAAATTTAATAAAGTTTTCCAATATTGTTAAAAAATTTATAATCACAACCTCTTAAATTATAAAAACTTATTTCTCATTAACAATATAAGCGTGCGGTTACAAAACAAAAAAGCAAGTTACGTTCAACCACCTTAACCTAATAGATACGGAACAAGTATCAATTACAGAGCGAAAAGATAATAAATTAGTCTAACAAAGAAACAAGCTCAAACAATGACAAAAGCTTTCTCTGTCTTATGTCTGACTAATAGAAGGTAAGAATACCTAACCACTCGCTGAAAAATCGTGCTTATGCTACGCCTTTCACAACACGATCATTCGAAGATACGCCTACTTGCACTGGCACGATTAAACTTACATTCAGACCCGCCTTTTTACAATCGTACGATGATGACAGTTTTTTGCAACAGTTGATCACAATTCTTTGACATTACGACAGTACAAGTCGTGAAGTATACATGTCGTGGGTTGGCCATAAAACGTTGTATCTGTGGTAAAAACTCTTATTACCGTTACCTATAACTTTATACCTTCAGTAAGCTATAAGCATGTGATGACAATTATAAGGCATACCACAAGTCGTTCTGAGATTCTCAACACTTGTTGACCTTGTTACCTCGAGCATTAACAACGCAATATAAGTCCGCTACGTAACATACATAAGGCTAAGTCAGGCGATTATATATAGCAGACTTGGCTGAATCGGGCTTTTACATAGAAAACACATAAGATTATATACAGACCTTTTACTAAAATTTACCGTTGAGTAAATTTTTGTAAGGTGCAGTTAAAGTTATGACGGTGTCTCCGAGGAAATGACATCTCATCGTGGTTACTTAGAGTGAGTTCCTTCGTTCTTTAGAGTATTCCTCACCGCTTTACGAGCTGAGAATATAATTTTATGTAGGGCAAATGGTGACAGTCAAAGAAGTAAGTGTAAAGCATTACTAACTTATGACAACTTGTATTAAAATTTTAAAAAATTTTGAAAATAAGAGAAGGAATTGATTCAAATTTTAATTTTTTTTAGTTTGACTTTTTGTAAGTAAAATAAGATGTGTCAAGAATGTCCCGTATCTTACTCATTTCTAAGACCCACACAAGATGCTACAAGTATTGCGAAAGCTACTGCTGCAAATAAAATATGTTCTAAGCCATTAAGCCCGACAATTAACGACTTTTTTCTAATTTAATGTAATATACCAAGAAAGAGATGCTTGTTAGAAAATTTTCCGTTTTCTTGGACATTTCTTGTTTTTGTAGCGTTACGTCCATTACGATAAAAAAGTTTTTTAGCTTATATTTTTTATAAAACTTATATAAAGGTATAAATATAAAATATAAAGCTAAAATGTAGTCTAACGTTTCTGTCACAAGATATTTTATTACAACTTTTGTCACTTGAAAGCCAACTTGATATATACGTATTATGATAGTACGATATACTGTGCTTTATATAATAAATTAGTACAAGAGTACTTGAAGTAGTAATATATGTATATATATGTATTTATCATACATATTTAGATAATGTATGATGGTTTTTTTGTAAAAAAAAGCAGTACAACACAGTTTTTTATACTATTAAGTTCTTTTCTTGAACGTAGCCAATAATATTTTTTTTGTAAATGAAAGAAACTTTTATATTGTTTGGGATCTTTGTCATACAAAGAGCAAAATTTAGACAACTGTAACTTTTTTAGAGTTTAGTCAGTATTAGGCAAGTAATTTTGAGGTGTAAGCAAAGCCGGACGAGTAGTTGAGAAAGAAACGATCAAGACACAGGTTTAAAAATGACCGTTAAAGATTTTTTTGAAATGACTTGGGAAAAGTACACTAAATTAAAAAATTTTTTTTTTGAAACAAAGATCTTTGTTCCCTTTTTTCTACAGCCTAATCTAAACTAATAAAGCAAAATTTTTTTTTTAAACTAACTTTGAACATAAAGCAACAACTTTATAGCTTGCTCTGTACCGTGATATTCTTAATTCGTTACAATTTTTTGTATTTTAATTTTTTTACTTTTCACACTTTTGACTTTGCACCTTTACTCTTTCAACCTTGTGATGTTTGCATTTTCCTCTTCATCATGCATACGTTATATGCCTAACCATATTATCGTGCTTGAACTGCTCCGAAATTAGCCTTTATATTCATAGTTTCTGTCACAAGACATTAATCCAATGTTAATAACAGCTCTCCTCCCAGTCCTTAAGGCGTTCTTGAAAGCCTAATCGAATTTCAACACAGATTTTGAGAGATTTGTTCCGCGGCCGAAAGCTTTGTTTATTGATGGTGTTGTAGTAAGTGAAGCGGAACCATGAAGCCCCACATTGTTCCGAGTTGAGTGGGTTTTTGTTTCATTAAGTAAATGTGTTATTCAAAAAAGGCATACTTTCACACGGATTACGAGTGAATTGGTAAGGGTTGTGTTTCTGAACTACCGTTTTTTGGAATGTTACAATTTTTAACATTAGGTTAGAAAAAAATAAATGCGTTAAAATAATTTTTGCTGGTGGTAATTAGTCTGATAAATAGATAGCTGTGGTTTACGCGAAACAAATTTCTGATATCAAGTTTAGTACCTCATTACTTTTTGTACAACGCAATAATAATAAAGTTATGGAAAATATTAGCCACAAACCGCATACTAGTAACTTTCTTAAGATTTTGTATTTACATGATCTTACAGTAAAAAAAGTTTGAAAAATATCGGAGCGTTGCTAGTCAGGTACCTTCTTTGAAACTACATTTCCGTCTCTGACAGCACTTTACAATACAAACCTAACCTTTTTCTACTATCATACAAGAACTAAAGCCACAAATCTATTAATAATTTTTTTTTGTATTTTAATAATAAAACGTAAAATAGAAAGTCAAAACTATTTTCAGTAATGTACTTTACAACTTGTCATAAGGTTTGAAATGGACTACCTAACTTCAAAACCTATTTCGAACATCATAAAAGTAATGGCTAGATTCGTTTTGGATCATGTTATTTATGAGCATCTGGAAGAAGCTTGACGCCTATTTGTCTTGACATTGTGCAAAATTTTACCATGGTTAATTTATAGCGTTTTTAGGAATAAGAGACCACCGGATTTGTTTTAAATTCAAAAAATTATTTTTGGAGTATTTTTTTTTGAAAATTAAACAAACGTCTATATAACACATTGCTTAAGGGTTTTTATTTTGTTATACAAAAGTTTTTAATCTGCTGTGTTAATCTGGGATTTAAAAGTTGCTTATTATACTGTATTTTTGCTATGGAAGAGCTTGTTATACAGAAGTTATATTTTATCCTGAAAATGCTTTCAAAACTTGTCATCACTTCTTGATTCTTAACGTTCATCTAAAAATTTGCAGTAAAATAGTTTTGTTCTGTCAGATTGAGCTAATAATCCACTTATAGCCCAAAGATGGAAGTTACTCAAATGTTATGAAAACAAGTAATTGTCATATTATCGTTGTTTGCAAGAAAAAAGACTTGATTTTTTATTCCTGTCGTTGCCAACGGGAGTTTTATATTTAGGCTCAGACTTTTGGAATCTCATAAATTTTGAAAAAAAACTGTTTTGTTGAAGTTGTTTCAAAAACACGCTTTTTAGTACTATTTTTATTAGGAAATGTACGTTTTAGGACTTGTTTTGAAGAAAAAA